GAGTTGGATATTTCAGACGAATAAAACTATGATTCCGATGATCGACATGCCTACTTCCTTACCTATACACACCAGAGATGCGAATATTTGCCTCAGTTCGTATCACAGCCTGCTTTTTTCTGACAGCTATTGGCATGTCTCTGTCCAGGAATGTAGTCAAAGCATGTCATTGTCGCCTAAACGCAGTCCTGCATGCACTATACCGTAGGGCCAATTTTCAATAACTGTAACTTGTTGATTAGCGTCAATTTATCTGCCATACTCCTGCAAATAGCTTGAGTCCGTTAAATTAGTTGGTAAATAAGATGTCTTTCGTTTGCCTACATTTCGTGCTGTTAGCGTCGCTTTATTTTTTCTCCCATCCTACAGAAGAAACGGCTCATGCAGTGGACGTCGCCTGCGCGACTTCGCCACCGCCAATCCTCGTTGAAAGCCAGGTTGGTGGGAATTATTGCCTGGATTGGACCTCGCATGCCTATTTAGCTGCAATTGCTTCCTTACTGTCGTGCCACCTCTTTCCTTCCCTCCTTTGCCGGTTTGACTTGAGCGTTTTGCCTCACTTGTCATGCACTGGGTTTACTGGAGCTTTTTCACATTACTGACCAATGTGAATACTTCCTGGACAGGCATAGAGGCAATGTCGTGTGTTAGTAATCTAAACGCACACCTGCCCAACCCTGTTAGTTAGCTAGCCAGCTAGCCGTCATCTGCACTTCCTCTTTTGTCATCTTCGCTAATGATCCAGAAACTGTGCTGTCGCAGCCTCGTCCTGTTTCCTCTTTCACCTCCTATTGCATTACGAGCTTTGTAAGCGGTAACATGTGAGAGGGGGAGGGATACGGCCAGTCAGTAAGCAGAGTATATTGTCTTGGGGACAGTTTGTGTCCGTGTGTTTTATTAACTTGACGTATGAGCCTATTGGGCCATATGCGTATCCATGACAGCGGTATTCACCGCGATGCCTACACACCTAAGACATCCTGCACATCTATCAACAAATCCTTCCCCAGTCCTTCGATCGGCGTGGCCATCACCACCACCACCGCTAACAATAACAATGGCACCAGCACAGTTGCCCCAGCATCTCCCTATCTATCCTGCCCTCACTGCCACGCGCATGCGCCCTACGCATCGGCCTGATCGGTCACTTGCGAATCCATCGCACAGACCTAGGCAATCCAGTGCCTAGGGCTCCGGCGTACAGTCCTTGCACCCGTCTTAACTGTCCACGCACATTCACACACTGCATGAACCTAATAGGCAAAATGCGCTCCATGAAAACCTGCGGTAGAACGCCGCACTGACCGATACAAATACTTCTTGGACGGACATAGAGGCAGTATCGTGTGGTTAATAATCTAAATGCAGACCTGCACAACCCTGTTAGCTAGTTAGTTGTCATCTGCACTTGCTCTTCTGCCATGTTCCCTAATGACCTAGAAACCGTGCTGTCGCAGTGTCGTGCAGTTTCTTCCTTCACCTCCTATTGCCTTCCCCTCAATCTACGACCCTTTTAAACGTTAACGTGTGAATGTGTACGGCCATTCAGTAAGCAAATTATATTGCCTGAGGAACAGTGTGTGTTTTAGCCTGAATTTTAAGTTATTGCACACGTATATATCTTCCATCTTCAAAGACCCCTTCCTTGCCTGTGTGGTCATTTTACACTCTGAAAGCAATTCACTGTTCCCCCCTTTTCTGTGTATGATTGTGTTTCTAGGTGTGAACCCACCGAAACTTAAAATTTCCCAGTTAAGCATAGAGGCGGGTGCTGTAGGGCTACGCAAAGCTGGGGATGCACGATGAGATGAGCCCATTTCTATCCTTTAGGGTTATTTGTTTCGCCTTAGTACAATCGATGGGAGAATGTGAAGACATTTTTGTAAGGATGATTTATATGGCCCCCTAAACAGGAGATGGAAATATGAGCGTCCCGCCCAGGCAATACAGGGGGCCTTGCGCTTAATTCCAGGAAGGCTGACAGTTTCTGTTTCCTAGCCCTAATGGTCAATCTAGCCCTTCAGTTAACATAAACCCTAAACATAACCTTGACCCTAGCCGCAGACCCAACCGTCGCCTTACACTTACTCCTAGCCCTTATTTCCCCGGAATTTGACGCGAGCACACATGTCTTACAGCCTGTTCCTGTGTTGTGTTTAAGCAGCCATATAACCCATTATTATCAACATTTTTGTCAAAGTCCACCATCTATAGAGATCCGCAGCCAGGAACCAAATGTTTCTAGTGTCTCAGCCAAGTCGGACTGAGGAGCTTTGCCTCAGCCATTCTTATAAATATGTCTACTTGTTAAAATGGCTGAGTCAGTTTGCTTTGGGCATGACTGTTTCTGGCAAGTGTCCACTTGGCCCTGTCCATAGAGCTCTGTAAATGTCTGATTCATCTACCACCCAAGCCACACCCATTCTGCACAATCTGCACTAATTTTTAGGTGCAATCCGCCCCGGAACAGGACGACAACGAGGCCACAATTGCCAGGTATGTTAAGGCGAACAGTCTTTCACTATCTGCACACCCGAACTTCTGCCTGTCTGTTTGGTTAAGTGTTAAGCCGCTGACATGATTTAGTTTGGTGGCGTATGCTTGCCCCTTCATAGTGTTGTAATGTATTCCCCCTCCCCTCCGCGTCGGCAATGTTCTTTCCGTTGGCCAAAGCACCTGGTCACGCCCAAACCTCTTTTAGCCTACGCCGCAGTTGTTAGGGCCCGGTGTGGGTGTGTACGTTTAGCGGTAGAAATGACCGCCCAATGTACACCTCTGGTTCAGTCTTAGTGCAACCAACCTGTGCGCTCACAGAACTCACTTTGACTGCCTTACTGTCGTCCTTTGTAGGTTATGGCAGCGTTTGCGTCAAAATAAAAAGGTGGTTGTGGACGCCATTTGCGTGTGTAGGGCCCTGCAACAACGCCTCTCTCGCCTTCACGTGCCTGACGCTGTCATGGCGGCCGGAGACGTCGACCAGTCCTCTTTGGAGAAATATCCTCTGAATTTCGGTAAATAAGCTTTCGCTAACCTCGCCTTGGGCCCAATTTTTTTATATACCACCCAAAATTTCACAAAATATTTATTGGCGTTTATGTACAAGTAGTCATTATTTTGCAAACACTCTTCCTCCCTCCTTCCTGGGTTGCTGCTTTTTCATCACTAACCAGTCCAAGACCAAGTGATATACGAGAAGGAAGTTCTGCTTTTCTTTTATTCCACGCAGATTGAGCTGAATCCCAGTGAACTTTTCTAATCCCCCTAAACTTTTTTTCACGTGTCTGACTTTTTTTTAAATCCATTCCGAAAGCTGGCGGTCAGATGACACTTCATGCCACGTGCTCTTTTCTTATTTTACACAGACGCCACGGAGAAAGGGGTGGAACTGGACAATGAAGACTCCTCCGAGGACCCTATGAGCATACTTTCCCGTAGGTCATTTACCTTTTTTGCCCACCCACACACTTGTAGGGGGTGCCTTTGATTTACTATATTGCGTTTCCAAATTTTTTCAGTCGTCATACAGCAGTTGAAGGACGAAGCTGAGCGTATTTCGGCCGTTTTTGATCAACTGAAACAGAACGAGGGTAAGAATCTTCATTTACCGTGTCATTTTTTGACTTTCGGGTACACCTTCCCGCGTTTCTATTTTCGCTTGTCTTTTCCGACTGCTTGGTTTAAAGCTGTTTCACGTGTCGAAATATCGCTGACTTTGAAAAATCTATGCCTGTATTTCTTCCGTTTTATGTCTTTTTTGGTTATATCTGTTGAAATACCTCCTTTAAGTGGATTTGTTTGGTAGTCTGTCTGGTAGGATTGTGTCGTGGGGTCATCTGGGGAAAATGTGAAGCGCGCCCCTCAGCCATACGAACGAGTGATTTTCAGGGAGAGGACGGGCGGGGCATGCCAGAGGAAGAAATAGAACCCAATTCGAATGCCCAATAAAAAAGTTACGAGGGCAAGTTGGGTCGT